AAAAAGAGTTGTTTCTTTACTGCTGCTGTTGATGTTTAGTTAAAATAAGGAAAATTCGGTGATGAATGCAACAATACTTATGGCAGTAGAAGGCATGTTGCTGAATTGAAAACCCATTAAAATGCATGTCCCTTTTCTTCTTTAATTTCTCAGAACAAATTCGCAATATTTACTTATGTAGTGTAAATATTCTACGAACAACTCTTACAAGTACACCTCCGTACAGACTTTAACAATATAACTAACGTGGCCCTTTCTTCATAGTCGTCTGAGAAGAAGTAAGATATAAATTTTCTTAGCCTTATACTTACTGCTTTGCATTGTGCAGAGAGGTGACAATATCAACTACAATATTTTGTCGTAAAAGTTGAAAATCCTACGTATTAAATGAAGCTAATATTGCTTCCACCTCAGATAATCATAATTCCGCCATGTTGATATTATGCTAAAAATATATGAAGTTACAGTTGACTTCAGTGACATAACTTCAGGCCAAAATTGCATGGAAATTCTTTAATTGGTTCATAGGTGGTGTTGGAGACGTATGCACATGGTGAAGTACAGTGCGTTCAGTTAAGGAGGAAGCTTCGCAACACCGCTGATCCGACCCAACATTCCTCAGAGATTGCTGCTGTAACTGTTGATAGCAGAATGAGTCATTAGCGCTGATAAACGCGCGCCGTTACAGTTACAGCTACAGCAGCAATCTGTGGGGAATATTGGGCTCGGGCAGCGGTGTTGCGAAGTTTCCTCCTTGATTGAACAGATTATACTGTAGGGTGTTTTGCTACTAAAGACGCCGTTCGGTTTGTTAATTGGTTTATTTAACAACCTACAAGTCTTGGCTACAATTAATTATAACACTGTTACAGGTTTCCACAATTTACAAACCCTACACACTATTCTGTCCACTCTGCCCTCAGTAGTCTACACGTATCCAGAGTACGATTCGGGAGCTATACCAGTGTCACTGTTTTACACACTACCAATTATTTCTCAGTGATCACGAACTATCACTGATTATCACACGCGCGTCCGGTTCTTCTTTCCGCGACTGCTGCTAGATTCCAACTCACTTCGTAGGCTGCTACACTTTAACTAGCTTCGTAGGCTGCTACACTTTAACTAGCTCCGTAGGCTGCTACACTTTAACTGACTTCGTAGACAGTGTAGTTCTCTTATAAACCCTCGGCCGGACAACGGGAAAACGCCTTGCTTCCTTGGTGCCCAGCCGCGTGTTTACCGGCCTTGCTATGCTTCGCTGCCGGGAGTTGTTTACGGCTACGTGGCAACTGCAGCGTCCCGTGTTACGTCACCGCTGGCGGGGTAGGGGGAGGAGTGTTGACTTGCCTGTTGCCGTAGTAACGACAGCGCTCCGATGCCAACTCACCGCTGGGGAGGAAGGGGGATGTCCACCATAGCGCAACACGTCAGAATACTATAAACCTACCTGCTCTTACAGTGAGTCTGTATATTAACAGACATCCTGCAGGAACAAACAGAGAGGTATTTTTTAAGTTGCTGAATATTTCAAAGCTTGGAGTGAAAATGGCCAGAGAAATATATCTGTAGATAAATGTACTGCAGTGGGAGAAATCATTCATTGCTAATATGGACCAAATGTAACGTTGTCAGAGGAGTTTCACTATTTAGTTTATTTTAACATTCGCATGTGAGCAACTATATAAGGCTTCTTGTGTAATGCTTCTCTACTGGCAGATAGTGATAACTAGTAGCAACTTGAAACTTCGCTATGCGTCCACGGAAAAGCAACTTTATTTCGGGCGTTATTTTAACACAGACATTAGGAAGCAGAATCTTTATTGAAAAGCTAGCACTTGCTCCGCTAGTCAACATATTCCTATCATATTACGAGAAAGGAGTGTTGGTTACAGTTTTCATAAGAACCTGCCACTGATCTGTAACTGAGCCAGACAAATCCTGTCCACGACCAATAATCCTAGTGGCCTATGTTTAAGATCTATTTTAATATTATCCTCATCTATGCCTATGTTTTCCTAGTGATCTATGTCCTTAAGAAAGTAAAGGTATCCCTGTAACAGGCCATTCAGGCCCTTAGAGTTGTGAGATGTTGAGGCTCCAACATTTTCTAGACAATTGGCTCACATATGGAGATGAGGTTGTTAGCCTTACGCGCCGGCCGCCTTTATCCCAAGGAATATTCCTGGCACTCATTTCTGTTAGAGGCTGAATTGATCCCAGGGCCATAGTGCTACTGGAAGGATTAGGTAAATTGAAAAAACCCTAAAATGTTCCTATCAAAATTTTGTATGTGGTTTTCTCCCTTCCATGCTACATGTTCTGTTCAGCCTATCCTCCTTGGTTTGAACGTGTGAATAATATCTGAAGATTGGCATAAATTAGGAAGCCTCGCATTTTGCTGTGTTCTTTAGCTTCCTATCACTCTGTCCCTCTTGGGTCCAAATGATCTCATCACCTTGTTCTCAAACACCTCAACCTCTATCCGCTAAAGTTGGCACTAACTTCGCCGACAAGCGGTGGTCGCTCGGTCGGTATAGTTCGCTTGCGGACGAAAGCCATGGTTTGCTTTTAAGAGGATAGGCAACCAGTCCTGCTCTGGGGCCCACCCGGCCTCCTATCCCATGGGTTATAGTGGCTCATTACCCAGGGGTTAGTTAGTTAGTTATTGGAGAGGGTGGGTTTCCCCATGCACTTAGACCTGTATTGGTCCATTGTGCTTCCCTCTATGATTTCTACCAGTCTCTATATCTTACCGGTACTGGTGCTTACCATCAGTCCCGCCCAGCCAGCGAGACCGGCTCTACTAGCTGAGAGGTATCTATAATGCTTCCCCCATCTACCAGAGGTATTAGAGACTGCTGTTGGGCGGGAAACGTCCGTAATTTGGCTCAGTGACCTCCTTTGGAGATATGAGGTTCTTTTACGTGCCGTAAAGCTACGGCACGGGACCCACGGCTTAAAGTCCCTCCCGGAGGACTTGTTCCCTGAATTTTTCCGCCCTTAAAAATTCGACGACCTCCGCCGGGTATTTGAACCCGCATACTACGAGTCATGAGGTGGGAACGTTGCCTCTAGACTACGGAGGCCGGGGGTTAAGCGACCGGGGCGTGACGCTGATCACTCACCTCCAACTAGGGCCGAAGTCAAGAAAATGTGGATCTATATAACCACTCCCCCATACGCCTTCATGGAGTAGTGCTTAATTAGTTAACTAGAGGAAAAATTTTACCTTTTTTAAGAGGATAGGCGTTGGCTTGAAACTACACGGGGATCAGGTCCAGTGGAGAGTTTTGATATTAGCGATCACATGGTAGATTGAAAGATAGATTTATGAAGGTCAGCTAATATTGCTGGGAAATTGAAATGACGGAAGTTATGACGTGGTGGACATTGAAATAAGATGGGGAAGACGATGTATAAGGAATTTTGATGGAGGTAGGTTATCTCCTAGAAAGCGGTCACTTGACAGACCGAGAAGAAGGCATGAGGACAACCAGCGGTGTGTGAACCTTTTACAGAAGAACGGTCTTCGCACTGAGACTCGAACCCGGAAATTCCAAACTATCGTGTAGGTGTGTTAACCAACACGCCACTGTATGTAGTCACAAGCTTGGAAAACACAAATTATTAGCTTGTCATTCTCTTATTTTGCCAGTCGAGTTTTCTGATGCAGCCTAAACATCGAATTCAAATATAAATTTGAAATTGTTAGTTATAAATAATTTCTACCTTTCCAAGACTGTACTCAGCTTTCATAAGGCAGTATCTACATGTATTTTAATGTAAAAGTGATATATGCTAAATGGCGTATATGTTCATCTGATGCAATTATCATTTACATCCGCCATAAAACTGCATTGCGATTAGTTTAGGTTCTGTTCTGTTAGGAAGGATTAGCCCTATACTTGGTGTGAATACAGTACAGTGCTAAATTTGAAGACACAGACGATCTTGTAAAGATTAAAGTAAAGATCATAAACCTCTCTTGAACTCAACTCGTTTAGGAACGGGTACTACTAGTCCCCCACCTAAACCACTGGTCTTTACGCTTACCTCATTTTGACCAATGAGAAGGTAGCGTGCAACAGGTGTTTGAGCCAATGGGAGCTTGAGTGATCATTTCCAAAGTTGTTAGGGAAGGTAAGATGCTTCAAACCGATGAAGTGCAATTTTATGAGAAGCAAATGTCGAACAGCAGGCGTTTACGACTAAAATTTTATATACATTTTACAACTCTCATGACAGTTACACGACTGACCCATTTTATTCTACATTTTGTTTGATACCCGATAATGCTTGTTGACCGGCGCAGTTATTAAGTTCCTAATTAGGCAATGTTCGTAGAGAAATAACGATAATAAGTTCTGCTTGCTAGCTGTTTAATCGTGGTTCCTTAGTTGACTTATTCTGAGATCTACCCTGAAGATGGAGGCGATATATTCATCCGAAACATCAGATGATTTTCAGTGGACCACACGGTTTCATATCCCAGAAGATATAATTCTAGCATTTGGTTGGTCTGTTAGGCCCACTTAATTCTTCCGTCTTTCCATTGTAATAAATCAAGAAATATTGGCGGGGAAAAGCACAAATATTTCTCCATGGTATTTACTGGAAGAGACAAATTTTAACCCGGCATACACAGGACAGATTCCAAGACATAAATGTTATATTCAGACGTGATTTTTCATACCTGTTGTTATTTCATGTCAGAAGCAATTTTTAAGTCTGAACTAAAATGCTTATTACAAACGTAAGTACAGTCATATAAAAATTATGACTTGCTACTTCCATCTACACCTCGCTTCTATGTTGTTTTATGATATGCATGTACTTTTGACATTCTTCACTGTACCCGCAGTCGTGGCAAAGATAAATGACGGGGCAGAAAATACAGAAACAAACTCTGTGCTGTAAATATTAAACGCGTTTGAACTCATGGCAGTGTGTGTATATCTTTCGTACTAACATCTTTGAATCACCTTTCCTACCTGGCTGTTCTTCACTTTCCCTCATGGGGAAGGTTCCGGTTTACAGTACTGATGCGTTGTATCTCCACCGTATAGCTGGGAAACGCCAAACGTTCAACGCACGAAATTTTACATATTCGAATTTTCAGATTTCGGAACAATATGTTTTCGAAACTGGAAGACGCCGTTCTCGGGCGTTTAAGCAAATTAGCAACAACGTTATAAACATAGAGTGAAACAACCCGACGGTTGGAAATGGCGTATACCATTTGAAAGTTTAAAATTGCAAGTAAGTAAATCGCGTGGTTCGATTACACGTTTTCGGTTTGAAAGGGTTTTCTGTGTCAACGGTTTCCTGGTACATGGCTGTGAAGAGAAATCATATGTTTTAAACAAAGCAATTTTATTTCTGATGAAAAGCTGTGCTTTATATTCTAATACAACTGAGAACACAACCAGGAGTTACATGTGCCGTCCATATGCCGAAAGTGCTATTGCTCACTGCTGACCGAATTGATCGTGCAATGTAGATCATATATCGAATCCGTCCATAATTTCTCCCATTATGTAATTTATTGACCAACGCACGTGAATACTGAACACGTAGAGGAAAACAGTATCTCGCAATACGTAAATAGAATAATTCATCTTGCCATGTAAGTTATTTGTTCTCATCATCATACCAGCATACCCGCTCTATTGTTGGTGTTTTTGTTGTTTGAGATTTAGTACAATTAAGATCCGAATTTTTGTTGTTACGGAGAGTTGTGATAATTTAATGCAAATAAACACTTCACTGTGTAATAGTTGATGCTTCATATTACTGTGCAAAATCAATACACTGAAGCTTACTGAACTGCAATATTGTGAAACAGAAGTTTGTTTTTCTTCAGTAGTGAAGTGCAGTAGAGTAACCGTGACAAAGTTATGAAGTGCCGGTAGTGCTTAATCTGAGCTGTGTTACTTAGCAACAAAGCAACAAGTATGATGGAAGCACCGTATCTGTGTGTGTTGTATGTAGCCACTGCAGGTCAGCAAGGGCCCGGTTTGGGGGCCGATGAAGAGGAGATTGTATTGTTGGCTTATATAATCATCGACATGGGGCAGAACAAGGTAAAATCTCATTTATTTTCATAAGGCTTGCCATTCTGTGTCTAGTGTTGTGCAATTGCCAGTAGATCTTTATTAAATACAATTACGTTTATCTTAATTACATTAAATGTTTCGAAGATTCCTTCAGTAAGCACAATTCAAGAAGGTGACTTTCAAAATTTAATACGAAACAGAAAGACAGGGCTTGAATCCAATTCAATTAATTTCCGTCCCATAGCTTTCAGGATTACGTAGAGATATGTGGCTGCAGGATGATGATGTATGCAGAATAAGTTATTATTCGCCTTGTTATTTATGGGCCTACATAAAATTAGAAATACGGGTGCCATGTATGCTATCGGAGATAGTTGTACTGGGCAAGAGACAGTTTACGCATGTACTGTATTTGTTGATATATACAACAATTTTTATGAGTTTGATTTGTTATGTGATGGTGGTTTCCTATTTGTAGTGATGTTTGCCCTCTGAAGATGGTCCACAGAGACCGAAACATGTAAGGGTGTTAAGTTTTCATGTAGTAAAAAACTTACAGGTCACATTGGACGGAGTGATTTATATTTGTACAATTTTTATCTTTATACTTCCTGCTTATAGGTATTATTATTATTATTATTATTATTATTATTAGTAGTAGTAGTAGTAGTAGTAGTAGTAGTAGTAGTAGTAGTAGTAGTAGTAGCAGTAGTAGTAGTAGTAGTAGTAGTAGTAGTAACAACAATAGTAACAATAATAGCAAGAAATGTGGTATCTTGATTATCAACAAAAAAGACGGGACGGTAGCTATAGACTTTGGAACATGCTCTTTGAAATTGTAACGTAGGCTTGTGAGTAAACAATGGGAAAAGATAAGGGAATTACAGATTTAGCATCTGAAGAAAGAAAGCAAATGGAAACTGGGGAAGCGAAAATAGTGTAAATAGTCATTTTCAGCAAATAGATTGATAAGAGGCCACCTCACTAAGAACCCTGATGCAGGCCTAAGCTGTCTCGAGATACCAAGCATTAGCTTCAGGAGAATTTAGATATGTTTTTAGAAATATGAAATATTACATATTATTAGGAATTTTCTGAACAGTCTTCTGGAGCCTATATTTTCTTAAACCTCCAAATGCTGACGAAGGTTGGCTATAGGAACATACGACACGCAGCATGAGAAATGTTACTTAGTAAGAAAAATAAAGGGCGGCGCCATAGCTCAAGCGGTTAGTCGCTGGCTTCCCACCGCGGCGGCCCGGGTTCGAACCTGGGTATAATCAAGTGGGATTTGTGGTGAACAAAGTGGCACGGGGGCAGGTTTTCGCCGAGTACTTCGGTTTCCCGTGCCAATCTTCATTCCACCAATTGCTCCACAATCACCCTCACCTATCATCTGGGGCTGGTACAATAGGCCAGTAGTGGCCGCAGTGCAAGGGACTTAGTCCCACCCCACTTGCAAAAAAGAAAAAGTAGGAAAATAATGTGATTCTAGATGACGATGATGTTGAAATGTCTCTGTAGTAGTAGTAGTAGTAGTAGTAGTAGTAGTAGTAATTGCTGCAGCACTCATGTAAGCATCAAAACCACCTTGCAAACTTGGTTAATTGGTTTGCATTTGATGCAGTACACATTCTTCGAGAGGCATTACTTATTCCTTTAGGATATATGAAATGTACATATTCGATTACATAACGTTACCTTGATAGTCATATGCTGTAGCCAGTATTATGAAATTTTGTGCATATACCATAAACATATTTACGAAATATGTGTAAAATAATTTTTATGTATAAACGAAGACAATTATGGTGACGGCATAAACTTTGAAGTTGCCTCCGATGAAATGACACAGTAGAATGTTCAACACGCAGAAATTAGGCACAGAAATGGATCACTAAATTTTATAATTATTAGATCCAAAAGTTTGTGACAACGGTATATTGCTACAAGTATTATGTTTTTGGACTTAATCCATTGTCTTGTCTATTTTCTAAAATCCGTCCTGTTTCTTTTTGAAAATACAACGTTTCGGAGACTAGCCTAGCTCTATCTACTGGACCCAACTGAGTAGGTTGTACCCGAGGACGGGGACAGAATCCAGTCTTCAAAACGTCGTGTTTTCAAAAGGAAAGAGGACGGTTTTTAGAAAATAGATAAGACGATGGATAATGTCCGAAAATATAATATTTGTGTGTAATTATTAATTTATAATTCTTGCTGGCCTCATCATATAAATCATATGTGAAAGTTTCAAAGGAAATAGACCCAATAAGTCTCCTACCAGAATTTATTTTTATTTCTCTTAATGATTTATGAGCAGTACTGTGCATGTTTGGAATAGCCACTGCCACTAATTCTTGTTACGTTTCAAATCTGAATCAAGGTCAGTTAGTCTACGGGGAACGTAGAAGAGATCTGTTCACTTTATTTCAAGCGCAGTAGTTGCTGTTAACAAGTTTATATTAATTGGGTCAGTCACCTGCTGACTTGGGTAAGTCATTCACCCCGCTGGGTTACCTCAATTAAATCCCTGTTCGCAGTGATGACTATGGTGTTAGGAAAAAGATTTCGTCAGCAAACAGAATTATGCTGTTTGATTTACAATCGCCTTTCTAGTCAGAGTTTATATACCTTAGGGAAAAAAGTGTCCGGTGGCAGGTACTGAATATTTATATGGCATTTATGACAAATTAAATGCATACAAAATTTTGCTCAGAAACCCTCAAGAGACCGAGGCGTGGATGGGTGAACTAAAAACGGAAATAAAATATGAAGTGGGTTAAACTGACTTGGGAAGAGCCAAGTTGAGACTCTAAATAGCCCTGAACGTTTCAATTCCTAGAAAGAGTAAATGTCTTAGGCCTATATGCTGAATAACTATCAACTGGTATAGAAGTTGCTATAGAACCACATTTAAAGGATTCGTGCGTGCTAATACATGTGTGTGTGTGTGTAAGGAGTTGCTGATTCAATACCCTTCACCCTCGAAATGTAGGGAGTGACAAAAATAAACTTGCACCAAGGAAAGAAGAAATCTTTAATTAAGTGATGAATATTTGTATAAACAGCATTTTATATTTTTGAACCCATCTTTAGTGTAGATTTTAAAGTTAACAAATAGGGCCGCGCCATAGCTTAAGCGGCTGCCCGGGTTCGATCCCGGGTCTGATAAAGTGGGATTTGTGGTGGACAAAGTCGCGCTGGGGCAGGTTTTCTCCGAGTACTTCGGTTTCCCCTGCCATTCTTCATTCCATCAATTGCTCCACACCCACCTTCCTATTTCATAGTCCCGGGGATTTTATCAGTATAGGTGGTCACGCGAAACACTTATTTCTGTTTAGGGCTGAGGTTAAGATTTCGTGGGACTTCACTTACATATACCATACGCGCCCGCATGTTATGGTATTTACGTACAGCTCAAGCGGTTAGTCGCTGGCTTCCCACGGCGGCGGCCCGGGTTCGAACCCGGGTCTGGTCAACTGGGATTTGTGGTTGACAAAGTGGCGCTGGGGCAGGTTTTCTCCGAGTACTTCGGTTTCCCCTGTCAATCTTCATTCCACCAATTGCTCCACACTCACCCTCACCTATCATCTGGGGCTGATACAATAGGCCAGAAGTGGCCGCAGTACAAGGGACTTAGTCCCGCCACACTAGCATTAAAAAACCTTATTTTTATATTGTATGATCATTTCTTCCATGAAAGGACTATTTTAATACCGTTCCTTATTGAAGACACAGTTTCCTTTAGGGTGTATGTTGTAATTTAAATTTAAAAATTATATATTATTCCGTGATTACCTGCACGGGTTTATTGGTTTTATTTAATGAAATATTGATTAGCCTAATTAGGTTCATGGGAGGCCTATGCAAAATTCATTGAAAACGTTGCAGGCTTTCTTGCAGTTCATAAACTGCAAATGCACTTCGCCATTCTACTTCCTTTTTCTTAAACTGTCTGACGAATGACGAATATATATATATATATGTAGTTGATCTGTGACGTCGAAATCAAACAAAATTTTCTTTCTAACGTACTTTCTTTCTATAAAAGGAAAATATATGCTTATGAGATCACCAAACTCTGTTTGTGTATTTGTTCATTTTAGCCTTTGAAGATGTTGACCGATTTTCACGAAGCTCAGGGGCGTGTTATACCACTGGTGACCACCCCAACGCAGTACTTTCTAAATTCCTGAATTCTGTAACAACATGGCGGACGAGCGAATTAAGAGGCAGAAACAACACCTTAAGTTTCAGAAGTGATGTACGATAATAGATCTTACAAAACTTTTATCGCGGTAACATTTTTGTGGAATCTAAAATAACAAAATTGCGACCACGCGAAAGTTTTTTTTTAGCTTTTGGCTTGATGGTCATAACTAATTAGCCATTAGAGCTAGGCGTGTGAAATTTGGTATGGAACCATAAATACTGCATTCACAGTATGTACGAAATATCAGTTGTAAGGTAGCAATTATGTACTTGGCAACAATGTAAGACTTTGAAATTATATTCGAGAAATTTTATTATACTCACTCACTCACTCACTCACTCACTCACTTATAGAGCTGAGCCTTTCTTGAGAATCTGCCAATTGTGCAGCTACTTAAGAATTTCCGAGCAATTTATGGAATCACAAGGTTCATTGCCGTGTTCACAAGAGCCCTTCACTTGTTCCTCTCCCGAGCCAGATCAATCCAATCCATGCCATCCCATCCTATCTCTCAAAGATAATTTTATTATAGAGAATCTGTATTTAAGCAGTAATTAGTAAGTATGTTTCTACATCCCCCCTCCTTCATTTGTTCCATAAACAAATCTTTCAGATATATAATCAACGTCAGATATATTAGACATCATCCGCACCCTTTCATTCTGTTCGTCCATAAAAACTGGATAATCTGAAAACTTTTTCCGAGGTTCAGAAATTAAATTGAACATCCCGTCTACCTCTGATGATCATACAGACACATGCTCGAGGTCTAAACTTCAATGTACAGAGCGGGTTACTGTAGCGGCAACCT